ATTATCCCTTTTTGGCTGACTTGAGGCGAACAACCAAATTCAGAAATAGCCATTGATCAACCCCAGGGCTACATAGTAATTCCAGGGCAAATGCGTAACGTTTAGCTGTTGTGATGGCTTGTGTGCAGCTCAAAGGTTGGCTGATTCCTCTTCCAGCAAAGGCAATCAGCCGTGATTCTCTGTAAAGGCCAAGTCCATTGACAAATGTGAATATTTGGGTCACTTGTCTGTGCTGGCTTCTTATATACCTTGCAGTGACACAACATAATACACCTACACTCAAATCATTTAGCGTTTCTTCCATAGGGATCTATGCAGGATCCAGCACAGCCAATCCTGCTCAGCATAAAACAAAGAGAGGTCTATGTTAGCCATGATGTGCTGGGCCCCTAGCTCTTACAGGCCCTGGAGCAATCACGCCCATAACAATCCACATGGTTACCCCCTGGTTAATTTGTAGCTCTGAATACTTTGTAAGAGGTTTGCAGTACTCTACATTTTTTAGCATGGCATATTTACTAACAACTGCAGTAGTGGACGATCATGAGCAATGAATTGCTACAACTTGTGTGGCTTCCACTATAGGAAGCCAATTGTTCTATCTGTTTGGTGCAACTTCTAGCGGTTAATTGCTAACAATTCTAGCAGCATGACTGAATCACTAAAAATCTCATAGCTCTGGCCTATGTGTTAAAGTGACACTAAACTCAGGAGTTAAATCTTAAAAATGCATTCAAGTACCTTAACTATTAACTATTTGAGGCTGTAGATCCTCAAATCATCTCTGAATTGGTGCTGATACTGTCCTTCCTTCTGGAGGGTGGCTACTTTTGTTCCCCATGGTCTCTGTGTGTGTTGTAAAGTAGTCACCGCTCCAAGCTCACTCTTGTGATGGACTACAATCTCAATATAAATTAGTAAACTAAACATGAGATTGTAGTCCATCATGGGAGCAAGCTTGATGTGGTGGCTACTGCGCTGGTTAAATTAGCGTAATCATTAATGTTTACGTCAACCTCAGAGATGTGTGCTGCAAGCATCTAAGAATCAAGATGGGTATTTTGATATCTTATATAAAAATGAAGGAGTTGATGGAGGAAATGGAAAGGAAAGAGGGAAGAAGGGTGGGGAGAAGTGTAAAGGGGGCCTTCCTGAGTTTTTACTGCTGTAACCCCAGACATGGGAAGATTGTATAGGTTCAAATACATGTTTACCTTTAGGGAGGCATGCCTGAAAAGCCACAGAGTCTTGCATTTCCTCTTGGGACATACTCAGGAATCAGGAATAACATTTAAATGGAGATAACTGCCTTTTGGGCTGCTCCTAGGGGGTGTCCATAAAGTTTTCTTCATGGTGTTTGGGCTGCGTGGTGGTAAGGTATCATTTAACCCAAGACATAGAAACACCTATTTTCAGAAGCATGTTTTGATTAAGTATACTGAAATAGAAAAGACGGATCCACTATGTATATGATTCACTAATATACTGTTTTCATGTTTCTTTACTTCTAAAGTAATAAATGTAGAGTTACATGTGTTTCTTTTTCTGTATTTTTAGGTAGCTGCAATGGGGTGGATTTCATTGCCAGTTGTGTACCTTGGTATTACACTCTGCCAAGTGTTGTCTGCACACGAGAATCATACAACCGCCTCCTATTTCAACACGCCAAGTAAGAAAATTGCACAAAGCTATACATATGACTCTCAGCTGGAATATCAGCCTTTCAAAGACATAAATATCCCATGCACTGAGTAACTTAATAAATCAAAAACATATGAATACATTTCTGGATTTGAAACACATGCAGTTACCGGCGTATGCCTCATAATTATGAATGTGTTTTTTACTTTTTTAGGTCTTACTATAGCCCTTCATTGCATAACTGTGGGCACCTGATAGACACAGCAATAAAGGATAACTTTATTTTGATTGAATTAACCTTGTAATAACTACCCCCTTCCACCATCACCTCTTTAATTTAAGATTTATATGACCTGTCCACAATCCTGGCAGATCCACAGTATGTGGTCCGCTGGGAACTGCACAGCTGCCATCTAAAACTCAGCCAGTCTCAAAGTCTTCTGTATATGTGCAGACAAAATACCATTCATTCCTATAATGAGGCCATCTACCAAGAGACCAAACAGCAGACAGCTTTCCAATGGAATGAATGTGCAGAAGTCTACGGGGCTGGCTAGGAGAGTTTCCAGTGGTGGTTGAGTGGTTTCCCATAGACCACACAGTGTGGATCTACTAGGGTCATGGACAGGTGAGTATAAGACCCTGAGTAGGGGGGAGAAGAGGAAGTAGTTACCCTTTTAAACAAACATTTCAGAAACTTGTTACTACATAACATTTACTAAATGACTATGTGCCCTTAAGATGACTTTGTTTCTGCATGGGGTAGGATCTGGGAGTAATTGGTTGTATTTCATGGGTTGCCTTTGCTTTATATCCATTTCGTTTTGTTGCATTACTAGGAGCTTACCTTGACAAAGGGACCCTGGTGGTCCCTTGGATCATATTTTGACGATGGACCTTTAAAGCATACTTGCATGATAAAAGTGTGTTGGTGAAAATCTTGTGCACACCAAGTTAAGTTCTCGCAGGTGTTGGAAAGAACTAAGCACTTGTGAGTCGCATGAAGAATTGAAAGCGTTGAGTCTAATTTCTGATGTGTTTAGGAGTCATTTCTAATGCGCTGTCTAAAGCTTTCAGAACACCTTTTAAGCATGAGTCACCTTTGGCACGTTATGCCATTGACTTGAATTGAGGCATTTAGGAAGTTGTCAACGCCTGCCAAACATTTCTGGTGAAATAAAAGACAAAGTGACATTAGCACGTTCTGAAATGTATGTGTGTATTAGTCAGTTAGATTTTATGCCACAGAACAGGCATTGGCCTTACAAAGCAATTTGATTGCAAAGTATTTGGAGTGAAGCATCAATGGAGTGAAGCAAATATCTGTTCTTTACACCTGTTTGAATGAGACCTTAAAGCCACACTGCTGTCACCAAGGAAAATCCTAAAAGCATGTTCCTGAAACAAAGATATATTATATATTATTAATATATTATACCACTTCTCCTGTGGGTCTGTCTCAAACTCATTGGGGTCATACCAGAGTGAGAGTTTACTATGTCTTACACTGTACATTGGTTCCTTCCACTCACCCCATACATCTCTACTGTTTCTATAGGGAAGATAGAAGGCACAGGCCACTGGAAAGATAAATATAATACTTCTTCATTTACAAGGACCTGCTTTTCAGTGTCACTAAGAGATATGGAGCAAATCTGGTGTACATTTTATTTACCAACAGTGTAGTATGAGGACCTGCATTGACAACCCTTTTAACTACTTGCATCTGCCCCCGACCTGCCCTTTAACTGGGTCTTAAAGTCAGAAATCTTGATGATGTAAACGCTGTGATTGGCTGTCACAGCAGTCATGTGATCAGGAGTCCATCTCGCAGGCTTCTGAGTATTTACAGTGGCCAGGAGCTTTTTGTGATAGCTCGCTCAGTGTACTGGGAGCGCTCAGTGAGCCCACTCTCAGCACACAACAGTAGAGCCCCGTGGATGCATATATAGGGCAGCCAGCCATTAAATCGGAACGTGAGGATTCTGAAAAATTAACCCTTGCAGTGGGGCTACCTCCACTACAAAAGTTGAGTGCTTGTTTTGCCTAGAGCAGGGGTAGGGAACCTCTGGCCCTCCAGCTGTGGTGAAACTACAAATCCCATGATGCATCTGTCTCTGGGAGTCATGCCTGTGGCTGTGAGAATCTTGCAATGCATCATGGGATTTGTAGTTTCACCACAGCTGAAGGTTCCCCACCCCTGGTCTAGAGGTTGGAAATAAAAAAGAAATACTCACCTGATCCTTCAACACGCCTTTATGCTAGACCGGTCCCCACAGCCTCTTCTCCCCTAAAGAGGAGAGAGGTGAGTGGTCACTTACCGCAGGTCCAAGGATCAGGTGAGTATTTCTTCTTTATTTTTGCCCCTAGAGAAAAACGAACAGGTAACTCTTGCAGTAAGGGGGTAACCCCACTGCAAGGGTTAATAAGTCAAATTGCCGGCATTCTTTATGGCCTACCAGTCATGCTGCAGTGCTTCATATAGGTCAGGAAGGCCCTTTCAAATCAACTGCATCTAAATCTGTCGCCCGAGCATGGTCAGATGCACCAGGACAGGGCAGGTACTAAATGGAGCAAAAGAGTACCGAAAAGGGAACGAAGGCTGCCACTGCTGACCTCTCCTTTTACTCATTCTTGGTTGTCATTCTGATCCAATGATTTCAGTATTCCCCAACTCACAGACTGGTTGCAAGTATGAAAACTTCTCTCTGACTTTCCTGATCTATATGTTTTTATCCTGGTCACTTTCCTGGAAGAGCAAAGACATCCAGGCCCAGAGCATTTTCAGATGGAGGTGTGCAATGGCTGCCCCTCTATCAGTGAAGGTTTTCTTAAAGTGGGAATCACAAAATCTTCTTTAACAACGTAGCTTGGTTAAGAACGGCGTTTAATTTTCAGAATGTTTCCGCTCAGGCTGGCGACAGATGGAACAAATGTTCGTCCAATACGACCATAATGCGGTCTTTGCATAGAATAGAAAATTCATGACAACCTAAAAATATGCAATCGCTGGAAATTCAAACAATTTTCCCGAAAACGGTTCATTGTTCTGCTCATTGGTGATAGTGATATATCTGATCCTGCACAGATGTCACGCTGACTCTATTGTCCCCCCATCACTCTGCAATGTTCCCAATGATAACATCTCCCGGTATCAGTTGGCCAACGATGATGATGCTCGGGCTGCTTGGAAAATGAATTTATCTGATATCTGCCAGTTTACCCGTCATTCATCATGCAGAGCTTTAGATCCCGTCCAATGAGACGTGTTCGCTAAATATTAACCAGCTATGGAATATGTCCAAAAATGAACACAGCTGACAGATGTCTGATTTACATATATAAATATCAATAAACAGTCTCTATCAGGAACCCCTCCTACCCAGATAGCAAGGATAACTTGCCACAAACTTGTAGGATGGATAAATTGTAATTTGCGTTAACTTGCCACTTGCGTAATTACCACAACAAAGATGGTGCGGGGTTCATCTCACATCTTCCTATAGCTTCACTCGCCTAATAACATACAGTATACTGTACATTTAAATATGAGCTGGTGTATTCTTAGCTGAATACATTATTTTATCTATGAGCGTAAGCCTGATTACAGCAATGAATGGAAAATATTCAGCAGCATTGACAGGAAAAGGATACCATTTGCTGGCTTTACATATTGAATGTTACTGTTACACGTTGTGAGGGAGCCAGACACAGAACAGGGACCCTGGCACATGAGCTCACAGTATTTCTGTCCTGCTCAAACAGTATTTAAATGGTCTATGTGTCACTTCTCTGCACAGACTGCAGGGACTCTTTGTGGCCTCACCACCTTCCCTCCTTGTGCATCTGACCAAGTTGAGTGACTAACCCTAAGCAATCTAAACAAAACTTAACAAGAATCAGAAGAGTCTAGTTTTCAAGTTCTAGTATTGAGTGATGACTTTGCAAGTTACTACTAAATTCTGATTTTGCTTCCTGTGAAGATGTACATTCACTATAAGTGCTAATGCACTCCTTAAAGCAAACCAGTGCTTGTCCCATGCAAGACAAAGGAACAGGTTCCCTTTAATGCCCCTTCATAGCAGCATGTACTTATTTATCTTTTGCTCCCTGCTGCTCCAGTATAACTCCTCAGCTTCCACCAGAGGTTTTGTGTAAGCTCCAAGTTGCTCTATTCAGGGCTTACACCAAGCTGAGAACTATCTATGCCTCCATATAACAACACAGGGCCAATAACCAAGCACTAGTGGAGGAGGTAAGTCACATGCTCCACCATACTTAGAAATATGGGGTATTCTCTTCACTCCCTGTGGCTGAATGGAGTGGTGGGAGAATGAAGGAAAAGGTGAGCATGTGCTGCTAAAGAGCAAACCTGTTATTTTACCCTGCATGGACAAAGTAAAGGTTTGTTTTAAAGAGATACTTCCAATTTTCTCCATTCAGGGCACAGTGACAATGCCTTCTGATGACACAATAATCCCCCAGCAAGGTATACTGACACATCCATGTGTCCTCGCTGCCTCCATTAGAGCAACCAATCAAGGGATGTGACCTCCTCCAAGTGACAGTGCTCAGGCCTAAGCAGCTAATTGCCATTCCAGAACACTGTCACGTGGGGAGGGAGCAAAAGTAGCATAATTCTCTGGGGTAGGCTTCAACAACATCCAGTATCCATTTTATCCAAGCTTGCTCCAGCTGTATTCCAGCAGCAGAGAGGTGACAAGGGAGCTAGATGGATGAATATACATTACCATGCTGGGGGGTGGGTCATCAGGAGGCACAGTGACAGTGCCTCTGTAATATTTTGTTAGCAAAACTGCAAAAATTACCTTTTACAGTGTGTCCCAGTAGCTGCAGCATGCACAAAGAACACTGAAACTCTCCAGCACTTATTTTATGAAATGTTTACAGAACTCCAGGGCAAATCCTAATACCCTTGAAAATGTTATGTTATTCTGTATAACAGTAGAAAGGCATCATGGCACACTCACAAAACCAGCATGTAAAACAACTTGTCTCACCACTAAG